TAATATTCTTCATTGATTCATTGACGATCTTCAAAGGCACGTGACAATGAAGTTTTAAAAAGTTCAGCGACTAAGTGACTTACACTATATTAATATTAATTAGCAATAAAACGACTCAAGGTGGAACCTTTATTATCTTAGGTTAGGAACCAAAGGTAATTAATTTGTAAGCAAGACACAAAAATAATTGCTTGATCTTTAAATAGCTCTTCTTGATGAAAATGTAAATAACAATAACCTTCGTGAAACTCCAAGAAGTATAAAAAGGATCTTTACTCTTCTTGTGTTTTTGTGTTTGTATGTTTTGCTCTTTTAATTATTGTGTTGATATCGTTATTATTATTAATCTAATAAAACAATTATAATGATATATCGTAATTATAATAAAATAATCGATTAATTGACATTTACACGCAACCCGAATCTTTATTGGAACACATCAATTAATTGGGCAAGACGGTCTGACTTTGTGAGACGAATTAAATAAATACAACATCTGTCTAAGAAAGGCATAATTGACTTAATCGTCAGTAAATAACGCTCCGCCGCTGGGATTTGTAGGAGTTTAATTCGAATCTCGGACACGAACCGACAATATAATATCTGACATTTAAATGGAAGAAAGACCTAACAGTAATGATGGTGCATGAATGAATGTTATTTATATATTTCCATAGTATTTTTATTATTATGATTAATTAAATGACATTCTTTTAATAAATGTCAGGTTAATCCTGTTTTTAGATTTATCAAGGGAAATTATTGAATTTATTATAATTTGAACTATTGATTTTTAGATCCATACGATATATGCTAATTAGAGAATAGAATATCACTTAGTCCTGGGTAGGCTCATAGAGAAATTAAATTACACATATTCTATAACCTTGGAAGTTATATGGCCATTTAATAAAGCTCTCGCCAAGTTTTCCTTCGATTTTTATTTTTCTAATTTTCTGGTATTTAGAAATTCTAAATATTGATATTAATATAGCCAAGTTCCTGACGTTAATAATAATAAAAATATACACGTGTCACTACCCGATTCTATTATTTTTTATTTTACATATTATTTATTGCTATTATTGCAAATTAATACATTAATTACTGCCCAATATTATGATAATAAATGAATATTTGTATTTGACACGTTAATGTTTGTTACGCTTGGAAGGTAAATTACGAGTTGTGGTCTTTTAGGTATTATTTCTGTTTTTATGATATTAATCTCATCATCCTCGTCCTCTCCTTCATCTTTATCCTCTTCATCTTCATCTTCATCTTCATCTTCATCTTCATCTTCATCTTCATCTTCATCTTCATCTTCATCTTCATCTTCTCTATCATCTTCTTCTCCATATCCATCCTCATCATAATCTTTATCTCCATCATCGCCATAATTCACCACTTGGACATGCTCGATGTTTTTAATTGTTTCATCAACTAATTGACTTATAGTTAATAACCTTTTAAACATCGCAAGTAATTGTCTTTTGATATTTTTGTCAAGGTCAATGGTAAATTTGAAAGACAAACAATAAAAAGGAGGAATTGCTTCAGAAAACGAAAAATTTCAACTTTTTGATTCAGTTGCTAAATGTATAAATTAACTCGTTATTTTTTTTAACAGAACTTACTGGCAACATTTTTATTAATTTCATTTTTAAAAAATGTGGTCCGAGATAATATATCCGTTAATGGAGTTCGTGGTGTTAAGTAAGAAAGAATATTATCACAAACACCAATTATAATGCGCAAACGAATTTATTATGCAAATCTCGCCTGCTTTTTTCATATTAGAAGAGTTGTGTTTAGCAATCATTCAACTGTTTCTATTTCATGAAATTCTTTGTTGAAGAATTTGGGAAACATTTACTTACATATTTTTATTACAAGAAACGACCAAAATAAATTTTAAGAGTAACATCACGTTTTATTTCACTTTGAAGGTTAAGATTATTCTCTTCATGCCAGTACCCAAAAACCAAACATCTATTATGTAGGTTATTGAGAGAACGCCTTTAAAAAACAAAAACGCTCACGAATGAGTGGGTAAAACACATGAGTGATATAAATATTCACAATACTCACAATTGCTTAATTTTTTTATAGAATCGCGACCAAGAAAAGCAAATGAAGAGTGTAATGGTGGAAGTTAGCGCAATTTGTTATAGTGTAGTGTAGTTTGGTGTTTAAATATAGTTACAAAATCAAATTATTGAATTAAAAGCAGAATTACTAGGCCATCAAGTTAATATATTAATAATTAAATAAATTAATGGCATGCAATTTTCCGATTTTTTTTTTAATGACAAAATAAAAATCTGTTTTATACAAGTATCAATATCGTGAAAAAAAAAAATTATAATGAATTTATAAAAATGGTTGAAAAAAGAGATCCTTCATTAAAAGCCTTTTTATACCAACTCAAGGAATTCGAATTAAATCAATTACTATTTTTTTTATTGACACTTATTTCAAAAATTTTTGAGCAGTTGTGTTAGTTCAAGTATACATACCACGAGAATTGAAGCTTTGGTATGTCCTTTATACTAACATTAACGGCCATGAAGTATTTAAATACTTTATTATCTGTTATAAATAACCTTTTAAATTGCAAATAAAATCGTGTGTATAACATAAATTTGTTTTAATCATTTTGTGTGTGTATGGTGCAGAACACCTATACTCTTCAAAAGTTTATACCCCCAATTTTTATAAACTGTGAAAATGATAGATTGGGATTTCATCTTCCAAATTCACGGTTTACGTTTTTAATTACATGATATCTCGGGGTTTAAAAATGGTCAGTTTTATTATTATTGATAATTCAAATTCGAATAAAACGAAAAAATAATAGTTCGAATAAGAATTTGTAATACGAATAGAAACTCCAATATTCGTTCGGAGCATCAAAATTAGCCAATCATATTATTATTTATTTATTTGTTAAAGAATTGTATAAAAGTGTAGTTTTCCGCCAATTTGAATTCCCGTGAGAATATTCTTCAGATATTTTAATTTTGGCGGATGAATAAATAAGCCCAAACATTTTTTCCAATTTTCCTGGCCACATGTTTTGGTTATCTTTTTCGGAGTAGGAAAAAGCATCATGTGCCAAATCTCATTTGTAAAATCGTGCAATTTGAAAACAAACTCTCTATTTCATTGTTGCTTAGGTTCCAAATATTGCAAAAATAGAGTTTATTTCAATTAATTAATAAAAAAGAAGTTTTAGTAATAAATATGTAATTTATCAATCTTGCATGAAAACTAATCCTTGGTTCTTTTATAAAAAACGCGTTTTTACTAATTATGTTTCACTGGAATTTGAATTATCAATCAATTTTTTATGATTAACAAAAACTCAAAGTTTTTTACTCTTATGGTAATGTATTAATCTAATGCTCAAAGAAAACCGTCCATATTAGACAAAGTCAAGATGTTTGTTATTAAATTAGGGTTTAACTTTATAATTGCATATGATATAAAGATCGCTTTACCTGATTTCAGCAAAAAACTTTACCAAGTCGGGTGTTAACTCAATTATGATAATCCGGGTGTAAATAAATAACACGTGCGTGTATAATTGTTTATAGACGAAACTATTGTTCTTCCTTCTAGTATTATGTGATAAATCTTGAAAAAATGGCATCATCAAATTTAGTATTGCATTTTTGGAATGAAAGTATACACAATGCAATGAAACTCGTAGAATAACTACTGTAATACTCCCCTTTGTCTCATAGAAAGGGTAATGGAAGATCAAAAAAGGTCACATCAATCGTAGCAAGAGTCATTGGTCAATTCGTTCGAAGGAATCCCACCCAATCATTAAGATCTTTAGTATATAGTAAAATCATCCAAACGTAAGTTATGTTAGGCACTTGGATGAATTAGGTTATAAAAATCAATCACCAATTGGCGAACCTATGTTAACAAAGCTAAACGAGTTGAGTGGGCCAAAAACAAATTAACGATTCATGAGGTCTTTATTTAGTGACGAGACAGCCTTTTAATTCTTCAGGAATATAATTAAACATTAATACAAAGGTTTGTACCCCATTGGATCTCTTCCTAAGGATAGACAAAAAATTTTCTCCTGGGCTGGATTTTCTGTTAAAGGAAAACGAGCTTGTTTTGTTTTACGCAAACAATGGATGCGAAATTTTATATTGAAATCCTTGAAAAATACCTTCAGAATCAATCACATCTTGGGAATGACTGGAGGTTTCAGCAAGACAATGATCCGAGAATTTTTGAAAGAAAATGTTCCTGAAGTGATTGATTGATCATCTAATAGCCTTGACCTAAATCTTATTGGGTATTGCCAAAAGAAACACAGAAAGCAAATTCTAAGCAATTTGGTTGAGTCGCAACAATATGATAGAAGAATGGAACATGATCCCAGAAAACCTGCTAATTAATTCATTGAGAAATAGATACACACTTATTATTGAAAGAATTTCCTAATAAAATTATATAGTTTTCGGCTTTAAATAAATTAAAATTGATACATTCGTTGTTTAGTGAAATAAATTTTATTAAATTAAAATTGATACATTCGTTGTTGAGTGAGTAATTATATATTGTGGAGTAAGATTTGGATTCTGTAAATGTGCCTGTACAAAAAGAAGCTGATAATTATTATGAAATAATTGAAAAACTAATAGCAAATATTTAAGAACTAATTAGATGGTTGATTTTTTTTATTATTAAAATTTTCATGTATTAAGCAAAAATCAATAACATATTTTGTTCACAATTAATAATTTTATGATCTTTAAACAAAAATTTTCAATTGATAATTAATGCCAAGTTTTAATATTAACACGTCTAATAAAAAGTCATATTTTGAAATATTTATGTTAATATAATTTTGGTAATTGGTAATATAACTCGAATAATACAAAATTGTATTAGATCTTCATGTAATTTTTCATATATATATAACACTTTAAATCATATATCATTGTTCTTGCATTCAAAAAAAATAAAACATGTGGCTGAAAAAGAAGGTTAATTGATTTATTTTCCATTTCCTTCATATTATTTCCAATTTGTTGAAGTTTTGAATTGAAATATATTGTTTCATGATCTTTTTTCTTGGGCATATAAACACATTTTCAGATTCCTTTTCAATTTCCTTTATATTATTTTCAATTTGTTGAAATCTTGAGTTGAAGTCTATTGTTTTATGATCCTTTTCTAGGCTTTTAGAAATGTATGGAAGATATTCTGCATCCTCCAATATACTTCTACTTCATACTCTTAATCATGATGATGTAAAGTGTGAATTGGAAAGAGATAATTCAAGCATGATTGAAGGAAAAGAAAATACTAAATCTTTTAGTTATAATTCACGTAAAGATTTATTGTTACATGGCCATCAAGAAGGAAGTAAATATTTGGAAACCCATAAAATACTACGAAGGCAAAAATTAAATGTTTATGTAGAGCAAGTAAGCATTTTCTTGCTTAAAGATGGTAATATATATTCTCATAATATTTTATAATTTGACTATCATCTACTTCTTTGATTTTTCTTTACAAATGCCATCAATTGGTACTTTAATTCAGGGTAGATGAGTATAATTACATAAAGGACAATGTGACCATTAATTTTGAGGATATACTTGACTCAAAGGAGCTTAGTAAAATTTACGAAATATCCAATGTTGTTTGTCTAAATGTATTTAACTGTTCCAGAAATCCCTGATTGATATTAATGCCCGGTCTTCTTTCCTTTATAAATTCAATCGCTTCATCAACTTGCATCCCGTTCTTCTTTATCAACCATGCGGCAACTACTGCAGGCGATCTGCTCACTCCAGCAGCACATTGCACAAGCACTTTTCCGCCCAATGTTTCTGTGTTCTCGATAAACTCCAATATGGCTGGAAGATGTTTTAGAAATGGTGCATCACTGCTGTCTGGAAAGTGGCTACGTAAATAGATAAATTGTGAGGGAAAATGCTGTTTGCCAGCTATATTGACAATGTGAGTTATTTTGTAGTGTTGAAGGGATTCAAAATCTTTAGATGATTGGTTTGACGAAAGGTAGAGGAAAGAGGGAACAATTTCGCTAATATTGCCTAATGTTTTTTATTTCATAACGTAGTAATAAAAAAGAATTTTTTTCTAGTGAGTTTTTTGAATTGTCATTTATTATTATTATTATTATTATTATTATTATTGTACAATCTCATTGTGGCGGTGTCTTTTGTTTAAAAGGTAGAATCAATGCCGATCAAAAAAAATTTTTATTTGGCCCAGCTTGCATATTATACCAACTACAGGCATCCTTGGGCCTTTTTAAATTGCACGTGACAACCAATTTATTTTTAGTATTAGATTATGATAGATATTATGATGATGACCAGACATAAATTTTATCAAAATCAAAGTGATATTATATAAATGATATTAGGACTAATTACTTAGATATGTATGGATTTACCTCACTTATCCGAAACTCCATAACCAGAGTTGCAAAATTCCAATATATCTTTAAGCTAGATATTATTAGAGTTAGTTGTTATAAGAGATCAATTAAAATAACAACATAAATTTATCGATGCAAGATATACTGAAAAAAGTCAATATATTTTAAAAGCCGAAAATCTATTTTATCCAGATTCAGCAAGTATTGAAAAATATAACAGTCTCCAAAAAATGAATAGAGAATTTGTGCATTTTGGTAAAGACGAATTTTGTGCATTCATGGATTAGTTAATTTCGAACATCTCCTAATAACAACTCTTACATTAGAGTTTCTATTTGTAATACATTTATTATTGAATTATTCGTTTTATTCAAATTATTTACTATTTTATTCATTTTATTTTGAATTACTTGTTTATTCAAATTATTCATTTTATTCACTTCATTTATCCGCCTAAAGTTCCTAACGGGTCGGTTTCAGGTTAATAAGAAAATTTTGTTTATTAATTAAATATAAAAGGCGAAGCAGTCATATTGGTTTAAAAGCTGCAATTGGTGTTACGCATGACGCAAAACACAATTTATGATACAAGAGATGTTCATGACGCAAGACGTAACTCAAGATAATTCGTGACGCAATACATAATTAAAGACACAAGGCTAGTAGTGATGATGCCATAGTTTAGGCCTAATTTTGCAGCGAAGTTGGCGAAACTTAAACTGCAGGCGAAACCAAACGGTCAATCAACCCTACTGTTTAATTCCCGATCACAAAGTGTTTTATTGGAAAGAAAAAAAGAATTGATTTGTTTTATTATTAAATTATAAAAATTTTTATTATTACAAAACGAATTAGGTCAAAAAGTGACATTATTTTTATGATAAATAATAAAAATACAAATATAAAATATACAGATATTATTAAAACGAAAGAGACTATGTCCGGAGCTTTATATCCACCTTATTTGTTTTATTATGAAGATATGTAGTATCGAATATTCATATGTGTAACAGAATATATGAATATTTGGGCTTTTCAATAGAAAAAAAGATCTGCATCTTAATATTAAGAGGTTTTTTTGAAACTTTAAAAGTATCTCGATACTTTACTATTCAAAGTGGGTATGATTTCTAAGCCAAAAATGTTCCACGTGAGGAGTTACATATAGCAATGGTATTAACTCAAAATTGCTTTTCTCACGACATGGCTCCGTTTCTATCGAAAAGCCCCCATATTAATATATTAATATAGTAATAATAATAATAATAATAATAGTCAAATGATTAACGGATAATCCAAAATTTTATATTAACTATAATAATAATAAAATTTGATCGAGGATTCGTTTAAAGAAACTTTAAACGCAATGGATTTTTTTCTCAAAGAACCTTTGCTAGACCAAGCAAAAAAATTGGAGATGCAAGAAAGTAAGAAAATAATTTAAATTTAAAAAAGTTGTTGCTTTTAATATTTTGTTGAAATTTTTAAAATTAAAATTTTTTTTTAAAAAAAAAAAGTCGAGGATGATTTCCGGTCAAAAATAGAATTGTTTCCAAGTGATCAGAGTCCCGAGTATGAGACAGTCGATATACTTCCAAAACCAGGAATGGTATTAAAAACATTGGTTAAAACCTCCATGGAAACAAATAAATATCCATCAAATATGAAATTTTTTATAAATATGTGTTATTCAGATAAAATACCTAAGCCTACTTGTACTAGTGAAGAAGAACTTCGAAAAGCTATGAATGGTGATGCTGATGCTATTTATCGAGTACCAAATGTTTTGAATGACATAAAGTTTGATAAAGATGCAGGTTTGTCAAATTATTAAAAAAAAAGAAATAGAATGATTTTTTTTTCTCAATTAAAAATTTGATTCATATGAGAGAATCTTTACTGAAACGAAAAGTGATGATGTGTAAAAGCACAGAAGAAATGTCTTGTATGCGATTTTATTGTGAACAACGAGGTGTATCAAAGAATCCTAAAAGATTATGATTTTAAGTTGTATGTGAGTGAAGTGGCCGTGGAATTGATTGAAGAAAAAAACATGATTGAACTTGGCAGAGGTAAAAATTGGGGGGTTTTTTTTTTTAAAAAAAAGTAGATATATTTTATTTGAATATATTGTTTAATTATTTAATTATTTAAATATGATGATTTTAGAATATACATTTCCTAAAATGCATTATAAAGGCATTATAGAGAGTAGAACAGTGAAGATTCCAAAGAAAAAATTCTCTTTAATAACCGAAATTTCCAAGCCAATCAAAGATCCGACAAACAAGGTAAATGACAATAAAATCAAAGACAACAATGATGAAGATGATACTTCAAATATTCAAAAACCTGTGTATATAATCACAGAACATGATGCCAACAATATAAACTATTTATTAATAGCAATTGAAATATCTTCTTTAGTAAGTACCTAACTACTTGTCAATTATTTAAATACTTTTTAGAGATTATAATATTTACTCATTTAAAATGTTGATATATAACAGGAATTAATTGAGAAAACAATTGTTGACATAGAGCCTTCTAGACTTTTTGTAAATTCTTCTGGAAAATATATATTGAATTTACCATTACCTTATGTTGTTGATATTAATACAGCAAAAGCTAAATTTGTTAATTCTAAAAAAAGATTATTTGTAAAAGTAGAAAAAAAAAAAGTTTGAATAAAAAGAAAAAGAGAGAAATAGAGTGATGGGTTATTTATGTTATTATTATTATTATTACCACCACCACCACCACCACCATCTAAATGGAAAAATAAAATAAATTGATATAAAATTTTCAAACTGCTTATATGTAGCTTTAATCAATCAGCTATTTATGCTGGATAAAAAATAAAATCCAATAAAAAATTAACGTTCAACATTTTAAAATTTTTTTATTTTTATAATTAATATTAATTTTTGAATCTAATAACTTATTTTCAAAAATTAATAATAATAATAATTAAAAGGATTAATTATAATGAAGATGATGATGTGATGAAAATTAGAAATTTAAAATACATAATTAACAAAAAATTTAATCCCTAATTATTTATATAATATATATAAAAAAATTTTAGTCTCTTTTTGTTTGAAAAATTAAAAATATAAAAAACAAAAACAATCTAAGGGAAATAAGAAAAGAAAGTAACTTGTTAAAAATGAATAAATAAGGATTGTGAGTTGTAAATATTAAATGTTTGTGTGATTTATTATGTAATAGCTGTGGCGGCATTTGGTGATATTGTAAGTGAGTGTAATTTATTAATTAATATATATATTTATATATATATATAAACCGGCTGTTTTGTAATAATAGGATGTTTCACTAATAATATAAAGTTTCATTATTATAATTACTATAATAATAATAATAATAATTTACAGTATTATACAATGACATTTTGGTGGATTTTCTGTAACTTTAAGATCTAATATATATATATATATACACGATTTGTGAAATATTAGCAAGTTAATTAGTTAATTAAAAAAGGAAACAGTATATGCTGAAAATATTTATTATTCGCTCAAAACAACAAACCTTCAAGATCAGAAGCTAAAATATTCTTGAATGTTAAATGTGCAATTGTTGGTTGACCACGAAGAATCTTGTTAGCTAAAGAAAGGAAACAATATAATATTAAATTATTGTATCAATTAAAAATCTTTTTCTTTGTTTCTCCATGAATTATATAAAATTTGACCATAAATCATTATGATTGTTTGTTTGTTTCACATATATATGTGTGTGTGAAAAATGTGTTTAAATATTTGTAACATTTCCTGTCAAGATTTTCTTTATTACTTTCTTTTCTTTTCTATATTTAAATAAATAAACATGTATGTAATTTAAGTAATATCCTTACATTCAAGAGTACTTGTATCTTCCAAGAATCGTCCTCTATATACAATCTTTAAACTTGAAATAGAACTTGGTGTTTCATCTGCCCATTCTTAAATTTCATAACAAATAAATCATTTAATTAGATAATAAAAATAATTTCCCAGTAACTAAGGCACATTATAATAAATACCTTTTGGCCAATTACTAAAGACTTTTTGTTTAACTGTTAATATTGTATCATTAGGGTCAAACGAAAAAGTGTGTCTTTTCCCCGAAACTAGAAGTAATGTTAGACTGACTTTATCATCTGCTTCATGATTTTTTGTCCCAGATAATGATACATCAACTTGTGATGAAAAAGTTGTCGATTCTGCTCCTGAATGAGACTTTATTTTCTCAGAATTTGTTGAAACTGTTTCAGGTGGATTTTGTTCAAATGTTGTTGTGTTTGGATCAAGCGGAGTTTTTGTGACTGAATTAGTAGTATTTGTGCCGGTGTAGTTGGCGTGGGAATCGGAGTTGGAATTGGAATTGAAGTTGGAGTTGGAGTGTTGTGAAGCATTGGCATTGGAATTGGAATTGGCATTGAAATCGATATTATTTATATTATCATCATTTTCAATAATTGATGTTTGAGCCATTAATAACGGTTGTTGTTGTATTCGTTCTAAATTCGACATTTTTTGTATATTAATATAAATTAATATGAATATAAGGTATACTTCAAAATAAAGAAAAAACGAGTACAAGAATTTAATGAGTATGAGAATTTAGATCCTCTATTTATTGTTTGCTTTTTTCAAAATGTTGGAAAGAGTAAATTCTCTTGGAAAATCGAAAGAAAAAAAAAGGGTTAAAAAATTATTCTATTAAAATATTATTATTACAAAGATTGTTAAGAATTCAAAACCTGACATTAAATCGGTGCGACGCTCTTTGCCTGTTTTGTTATACTAAAACTAAAGCTATCACATATATATCCGTTCTGGCTTTTTTAAAAAAAGATTTTGGATCACAAAGTTTCTATATTTATTTTCCGTAAATAGCCCCCTCGTACGATATTAATATCGTTCATTATAATATTTACAGTTTTCGGAACATCTCAAAACCCATTAACATTAACATTAAATATGTCTGTGAGTTTAATTATTATTATGCATCAAATTACCTAAAATTGATATTTAGACTTGTGGAATTTAAAGATAAAGCGAATCACAATTGTTGTGGTATTTAATTCACTCAAAAAAACTATCTGAATCGAGGAATATGCAGCTAACTCATTCTATAACGAACTGAAACATATTTTTAACATCTAGTATTAATATGACAATATTAATTAATTAACTAGTATGAGCTTTATACGCTCCATTTTCAAAAGTTTTATGACAATCGAGGCAGGTAAATTGGGCGTTTGGACAT